AGGCCGCCAGGTCACGCTAGGGCCAGGCCGCGCCTGTGCTAGGCCACGCCAGGGCCAGGCCGCCAGGCCGCGCCTGTACTAGGTCGTGCCTAGGCTGCCAGGTGGGACACCATCAACTTGGCTAAGGCAAGTTATTGCCAAAGTGGTTCTGGGTGTCACTTATTTGTTCTGAGGTGCCATGTGTCACAATATCATTGGAGGGCCAAATCCGCCCTCATCACTTTCCACTTCCCATCTTTGTATCTCAGGAGCTTGCCAGAAAACCAGCCCAACTGAGATAACCCTCTTAGCTCTCTCTATTTCTCTCCCTCTTTTTCCCTGACTCAATTGTCTGGAACAGAATCGTCAACGATGGAAAAATCTCGGTCACCGTCACCACTCACGGCTTCCGAGTCTGCACGACCACTGTTCCACAGCGGCTGCCGTGCTCAGTTGCTAAGCTGAATCTCCTCAACGACAGCTTCAATCTTCTAGGCTGGACTTTCATTTTCAGGTTTGATAGGGGCTCAACAGAGTGGGTAGATGGAATGAAAATGGAACCGCAGAGAAGTTGTGCTTGCATCTCGGGAGGAGTCAACCCTTCTCAATCTCCTCGGACTTGGATAAGCACACGACACATTCCAACACCTGTCAAACCATGGATTCCCATTTTCCAGGTTCCTCTACAAAATTATGACTTAGAAAAGTCATGGACGATCTCTTGGATTTACTTGGAGACAACAGGGGTGTGGTTGGATGCGGAGAGCTTCAACTTGGGAATACTGGATAATCAAATGGGGTGAAAGAGAACCAGAAGAGAGATCTGAAGCCGTCTTACAAAAGATGAATGAAGGGTAACATTCGGTTTTAAAATAAATTATGCCATGTGATGTCATGTGTGTATGAATTTTGGCAAAATTTAACGGGCAAGGGTAGAATTAGTGAATTGTCGGAAATAGTAGTGATACTCCAAAACAATAGATAAACAGGATACAATTTGTCAAATAGCTAAACAATACAGGTAATTTAAAAAATTTGCCCTAAAATATATTCAGATAAGTCAACAAATTGATCATTTTATTATTAAAAGCACGATGATGTTTTAACAAGTCTCCCTAGGCGAAAAAGTCATTTAACCACCTGAAGGATGGATAATACGATACTCATGGAAAATTAATGTCATGTAATACCCACAATTACTGATACACAGACGTAGGTAAATTGGTCCATATTAGTGCCCGGTAGAGTATGTTTCACACACATCTCAGCATTGGAAACATCTCCCATGTACAAGATTCGAATATGCTGTGGAGTGCCCGTGGGGCACGCTGTGTGGGGCGCAAATGTGTTCCCGGGTAAATTGGCCAACAGTAGGTCATTTTACGATTGACCAACCTACCCCTCCGGGCCCAAATACAAAATGATGCTAAGAATGTTTTGATTGATTGTGTTCTATCTACCTGATTCCTTGATTGATTTCAGGGGATAATGGCACGATTGATGGCCAGGGTGATCTCTGGTGGCAGAAATATCGTAGTGGTCAACTTAACTACACACGCCCCTACCTGATCGAAATTATGTACTCCGATCAGGTTCAGATATCTAATCTTGCTCTAGTGAATTCCCCATCATGGAACGTTCATCCCGTCTATAGCAGGTTCGGTCTTTCCTCCTTGCTCTAATCAATCTTCATTTTCACTGATCTCTTCACTTATTTGGAATTTTGGCTGAATTCCCACGATTGAAAATGAAATGCAGCAATGTTATAGTCCAAGGCCTCACCATCACAGCACCCGTAACATCTCCCAACACCGACGGCATTAATCCAGGTTCGTTTTCCATTTCTGGGGCCCGTTGGGCGTTGGCCCATTCTGGCCCACAGAACAAATTTAACAAGTTATCCGAGTCTGACCTTTGTTTAATTGTTTCAGACTCTTCCACCAACGTCCTCATCGAGGATTGCTACATAGTATCCGGAGATGACTGTATTGCCGTGAAAAGCGGGTGGGACCAGTACGGAATCGCCTTTGGAATGCCAACCAAAGGATTAATGATCAGACGGCTGACGTGCATTTCCCCCGACAGCGCGGTCATCGCACTGGGCAGTGAGATGTCCGGTGGGATAGAGGACGTCAGGGCCGAGGACATCTTAGCCATCAATACAGAATCCGGAGTCCGCATCAAGACGTCGGTGGGAAGAGGAGGGTATGTGAAGGACATATACGTGAGGCGAATGACCATGAAAACCATGAAGTGGGTCTTCTGGATGACAGGCAACTATGGGTCCCATCCTGATGGCAATTTCGATCCGAATGCACTTCCGGCGATCCAAGGCATCAATTACGGGGATATGGTGGCCGAAAATGTTACCATGGCTGCGAGATTGGAAGGAATCGCCGGAGATCCGTTCACCGGAATTTGCATTTCTAATGTCACAATCGGGTTGGCGGCCACAGCAAAGAAGGTCCAGTGGAACTGCACCAACATCGAAGGGATCACAAGTGACGTGACGCCTCAGCCCTGCGAGCTCTTGCCTGATCAGGCACTCACTAACTGCGCTTTCCCCACCGAGTGCCTTCCGGTTGAAGCTGTTCAGATTCAGGCGTGCAGTTACAAAAGGAACTACCTAATAGGATACAGCGATTAAGCTTGTATTTATTACGTTGTTGTCTTGTTGATACAGTGGTCATCAAGAGAGACCCCACCCCTTCTCTCTGTTGGTAGCTGTGGGGTTGTAAAATGTTGGGAAATGGGAGTGCAAGAGTGTTTTAAGTATCAAAAAGACACATTGGATTTGGATGTTTAACATACAGACATTGATTCAATTGCAATAATATATCGCCAATGTTAGGTATCAATGGCAATAAGTCCTTCCTTGAATCATAATGCTAGGTATTAATGGGTAAGAGATCATGTTGCAAATGTCTTGTTAGGCCCAAAACCTTGTTAGACATGACTTGGACCTTTAGACTTGAACTTATAGGGTGGATGAGGCCCATTAGCATTAGGTACTAATGGGCTGAAATGTTCAAGCCCATAACATAATAGGCGATCCACTCTTTAATTAAAATGAATTGGGCCTAGTGGTCCCAACTCACTTAGTGTGGGTTAATGGGCTACATAATGGTTGGATCCAATTGGCATATGGGTCTCGTTCCATATAAGAATGTCTCTCCATATGCTTTGAGAAATTAGAGACCTATTGGGAGTGGTTCAAACAATGTTACAAGACTTCTAATTTGACTAGAAAGCTGACTAATCAAACTAGGACTGAATTAGTTGTCTAATTTAAACCAGCCAATACCCAATTAAATTTGGGACTTTTCAAAAGTTTATTTAAGATTTATTAGAAGTCTATAAATACCCATCAGAGGCTGGAACAACAGGTTAAACCTTCAGCAATCGGAGTAAACACAATTTAGCCCAAAACCCCTAGTTGTTACCTAGGATCGAACTTACAATTGTGTTCTCTTTTCTTCACCAATTTAAACCGCAATCAAGAAGGAATATAATTCTTGGGTGTCTTCTATTGTAGAATGCTTCCATTAACAATGGTGATTTGGGTGACCAAACATAATTGTATTCTCAAGGGATCGAGTCATTCAATATCAAAGGTTGCACCATCTTCAGTAGGATTGAATCACTAGAAAGAGGAGATCGATTTATTGGGTGCGAAAACCACAGTTATTCTTACACTTGTGAAGACCATTTTATCATGTAAAGTTCTAACCTTTCTTATTGTTATGGATCTAATTCCATCTGGTTCAAATACCAAAATCGATCTTGAGGAGAAAAGCAAGTTTCCTCTCATGTGATTTTGCTATTCTCCTATATATCCAATTCTTGGGTTCTTGAACCCTAGTTTTGAAAAATATTTGAACAGAAATTTCTCTCCTTGTGTCACAACTTTTAGTTGGTATCAGATCTTTTGGTTTAAATTTTGGAATTTGAATCATTGCTCAAATTTATCCAATAATAATCCCATTATCTTGCTGAAAACACATGAAATGATTCTCTTTTCTTGATTGGTTCAATTGGAGGTATAATGGTTACACCCTATGGCCAAGGTTCAAAGTATTTGAAATGCCAAGTGTATCAGAAAAGGCAATTTTAAGAGACATACATAACGGGATATGCCTTGCATACGCATGCGTATTAGAGAAAAATTAAGATACACATAGATACACATAGAAACATTATAAATACTTTAATAAATTATAAGAATACATCAATAACACTAAATACAAGGCCTTAATGAGATGTACATATATTAAATTAATATATTTTAATGGTTTTAGGAAGAAATGTATTGGATTCACTTACAATTTCATAAAAAAATCATATGCTTAACTATAATTCTTAAGTTTTAAGGGATGGGAAAGCCCAACTATCCTATCCAACCATAAAACATTCATTGGCACAACTTCTAAGTAAAAATATAATTAATAATTATTGCTTATTTAAATAATTACTATATAGTTTTTATTTTCAAAAATTACAAAAGATAAAAAATAAATAAACACTATACAATATATTCAAAAAATAATTATTGAAGAAGAAATTTCAATTGCTCTATGGATATGATAGATCATCCAGATCTATAATATATTCAATCATTGTAATTAGATTATAAACATAATTAATTATTATTTATTTTTTAATTCTAAAAATATAAAAAAATATTAAAGAATAAATTTTAATTGCTCTATGGATATGGTAGATAATCCATATATGTAAAACATACTAAGTCTTTACAGGCAGATAAAAAAGTATGTTTAAAAATTTTTGTTATTTTATATTTTTCCTAAATCTTCATAAAATTTCCATAGATCTACTGTAGATTTAAATATTTTCAAGGATTTAAGTAAAAAAATAATCATAAGATATTTATGAAAAATTGAAAAAACAACCTATTTTTTGTAATATTTTTCAAAATACGAAAAGCTTAAAGAGCATTGATGATTCACACTTGTTTCTTACATTTTTTTTTTTTTTTGCATATCTAGTACTCTATGAATGAGGTTTAGAGTCATTTGAGGGTGAAAGAAGGCTTATTAAGGATTTAGAGTCCATCATATGGATGGCCAAACTATGCTAGATGGATGTGGGTGAATTTTCAAAAATTTCTAATCCTTTCGGAAACCGATTTCCTAATGAATTTGAAAACTGATTTTTTCTGAATCGATCTTGCACTGAACCGGACCAGATTTGAAACCAAATTGGAAGGAGATTATACTTGATACAGAGACCAAAAATTGTAAATCCCAAGGTGGAAGTCCATGCCCAATATCAGTCCCAAAATCGACCTCCTACTAAAGATGGTGTAGTGTATGGGAGAAACCAATTCAACAACTCTGATTTCAACAAATTTGCTATCCAATTGGCTTGGATCGAATGGGATGATCAAGCCTAAGTTTCTTCAATGTTTTTCTTGCAGAAAAACACAAGAAAACTGATAAAAATCAGTTCTTGAAAAGGCTAGGTCGTGATGGGTTTCTTGAGAGGTAATAGAGAAGAAGAGAGAGCAAGAATGTGAAGAATTCAAGATTGGTTCACCTTCTTCTCTCTTTATCTTTTTATGGAGCAAGACTCCTAATCTAATTCAGAGGTGATCCAAATCTGATTTGGATTAAAAAATTTCTTTTGATAAACATTATCCTCTTGAGAGGATAGATGCTCCATACCCAGATCCAAACCCAGTTTTTGACCCAAATTACATGACAACTTGACAGCTTAACTAATCATATTAGTAATGGGCTTAGGCCCATTTCTCTTAAAGGCTCACGTTCCTAAGTGTTGCATGACCACTTTGGACCTGATATTATATGGCGTAGGACCCCACAAAGGTCTCACATACGTCCATGAGGGTTCGACCCACCTCTGAAAGAGATTGGGCCAAATTCACTACTTAAGGCAGTAAACCCCTGAGCACATGGGCTCAATATAGGCCCAACATTTACACCTAAATGATCATTGGATTCAGCCACCCTATGGAGCCCCAATGACAGTACCTGATTTTTGCTTGGTTCACCACTTGAACCTCCAATTTACCCCAAACACCCAATCAGACCCTCTCGATTTCTCTAAAACACCCTAAAACCCAAAGATCCCAACTTTCAGCCCCAAAGCCCCTAAATCCACTATTCATCCCCTTCTTCAAACAACCAGAGGCGGTGGTGATCTTTCTATCTCTTTGTTTCCTTCTCTCTTTCTCTCCCTCTCTCTCTTCCTCCTCCTCCTCCTCCTCCTCCTCCTCCTCCTTCTTCTTCTTCTTCTTCTTCTTCTTCTTCTTCTTCTTCTTCCAATCCCCCAAAATCTTCATTGTTCATCTTCGTCTTCCTTGCGATTGAACTATGGTAGGACTATGGTAGGTGGAGACAGAACCAGGAACACAACAGAGCCAGGATTTAATGTAACGTCCACTATTCACCCTAAGGTAGTAAATGGTGCTTCAAATGTCATTGGAGGTGGGGGTGACCTCGTACCCAAACCATTCATGTTATGCCATCTGAGGAAGAGAGCGACGAGAGTGATGTTGGGCAAGAGGTTTGATCAGTTGAGGCAGAATTTGGCATTGCCAAGAAGGAATTAACAGAATACTATGAGAAGGAGGAGATGATACCCCTTGGCTTCACTGTGGAAAACCCTATAAGGATCCAAGGTATAAGAAGATGTGAGTGCTACATAGTCTCCACAGACTTAGTAGATATCTCTCACTAATAATTTGAAAGGGGTGGCTCCCCTCCGCTGAACTTCCCCCAATCGTGATGAGCGCATCCTTGAATATGATCGCTGGTCTGATGAACTCAATGATAGATCAACCTATCGAGATGCTCTCCTAGTCGGCTTTCATCCGATGGGTGAAGTGAAGGGAAGGGAGATCCATCATATGGATGGCCGAACCTTGCAGGGAGGTTGGGCGAAATTTCAAAAATTTTCTTTCTCCCTTCTGGGAATCCTATTCCCTAATTTAGAAAACTGCATTTTCAAGAATCATTCTTGAAACAAATCGGACCAGATTTGAAACCAAAAGAGGGAGAGGAATACCTAATATGGAATCTACGCAAAAGCTCCTACCAATGTAGGTGTTCACGCCCAAAGAGATCACCAAAACCAGCCTCCACTGAAGATGACACAACTTATGTTGAGACATGATCAACAAAGGAATTCTTTAGTATGAACCCTAATTCTTCAGCAAGAATCATGCAGGAATGTGAGCACAACTTCAAGATTGTTTCTTCCAGCAAGAAACAATATCAAGATCCAATATTGATCACTCCAAGAACTGGAGATCGAACAGGGTAGGGCGACAAGAACAGAGAGAAGATCTGGATTTGCAAAAAGTGTTTAACAGAAGGATTTCTCCCTCTATTTATAATCCTTCTTGGTTTAGCTTCCTAATCATATTAGGAGAGGGTTCTTTGATCCAAATCTTTATTTGGATAAGAATTCCTAAGTGGATAAGACAAATCTTATCCTCTTGCTGATCTAGAAGCAGGTCTAATCTCAAATTCACCCCTTTTAATTAATCTCACTAAACCCAGTTCGAATTGGGGTTTAGGCCCATTAAGATTTCATGCTCACTTCCTTTTAATTGTTGGCTAGCTTGGCTCTCTTTGTATGGTGTTGGGCCTTAACATTGATCTCCACAAAAGCCATATGGGTTCAGCCTAGCCTCTGTTACAAGGCCTGACCGAATTCACTACTGAAGACAGTGAACCCCTGAGTCCATCAACATGGGTTCTTAACAGGCCCAACATACACCAAATGGTCCTTGGGTCCAGCCACCTTATGAAGGCCCAAGGACTATGGACTTGTGTGAGATTAGCCCATCAGGTTTATTATCCCTAAATGGTCT